ATAGATATATATATATAAACATTTACTGCTGTAGAGTCTATGCATGTTTGATCCGGCATTATGTACTTCTAATAACTAAATATTAGTTGTTTGTAACTCCTAGTGAGAGTGGGGAAAATAGTTGGGTTGCTGACTACAAAGTGGTAGAATACTAGCAGATTCAATGATAGGCAGATGTCTTACCATGCTTTGTGAGAAATTTGAGTGTCTGCAGTCATCCCAACTCTTGTTAGAGCCACGTGTTACACACACACTAAATAATAATAACATGGTGAGTGTTATAAAACAGTGCTATTTACGTAACACTATGTAGCCGAAGTTTGTGGTCACCGGACCTATGATGTCCACACCATAGGACATCATCACACCTATTAGAGCGTGTTGGACATCCCATTCAACCAGATGTTTAAAATCAAGCACATATTCATAAACATGCCATTTCTATTTACAACATTACCATATATAGAAATTTGAGACAATTGTGCACTTGCTACCTTGTGACAACAGTTTGGGCAGTCATGGATACGTAGTATGTATCATGGATCTGTGGGATGTCAACAGCACACCATGTATCCTGTCCAAAGATCTTTTATTAATCATGAATATTAACTTTTTCGTGGCTGCTAAGTGGAGCTGCTTCATTAGGGAAAAGTGATACGTGTATCACTATAGCCTGATAAAGGAGCTCTCCTAGCAGCACAGAGACCGCGCTTATTTATGAATGCTTTGGACAGGCTACATGGGCTGCAGATGACTGCATAGCCCTGATTTACATCAATGATGCATTCATCTTGGATGTTCCAGCACACTTATTCAATTGACCAAATCAGTGTAAAAAATTGCAATTGAAAACTCTACATTTGAAGCAGTTTGTGTTAAGGTGCCCACACACCTTATAATTTATCTGCAGATTTTCTGTGGTCAGATGGAAAAAGTGCAACAGATTGGCCCAGGAGGAGATTACTCCATCCACACAGTAAAGTGTAAATGGAGGAATCTGTTGCACCTTTTCCATCTGACCACCGAAAATCTGCAGATAAATTGTAAGGTGTGTGGGCAGCTTAAGGCCCTTTTTTGACAGCATGACAGTGCCCGTGTGCACAAAGCCAGTTCCATAAAAACATGGTTTGGTGTGGAGAAACTTGAACATTCAGCCCCAACCTTAAGGGCCTGTTCACATGAGTTTCAGGTCCTGATTAGGTCCGGATCAGGTGCGGATCTGAAGACGCGGTGCTATGTGTTTTTGATGCGTTCCAGTTAATCAGTTGCTGGAGTGGGGCTGTCAGTATGTTAGCTGCAGTGCAGTGCGTTTTTGGTGCGTTTTGCGTTTCCGGACCGTTTCCTGACCGTACAAAATGTGACATGCAGAATTTTTCTGTCGTAACCTGAACGGACTGCGCACGTGAGAACTGTAGCCCATAAAACACATAGGGATACACTGGGATGCATTTTTAGTGCAGGAGCGTACGGATCAGATCAGCACAGAAAACGGACGTCGTGTGAACAGGCCCTAAGGCCTTGTTCACACCAAGCGCGGAGCAGGTGCAGAGCAGAGCAGTAGCAGACCGGATCAAAACTGCGTCCAATGTATTCCAATGGTATTTTTTGCTCCAGTTCACATCGCAGCGTGCAGTTCCAGAGCAGGTCCAGAGCAGGTGAAAAAACTGCAGCAAGCCCTATTTTACCTGCTCTGGAATGCATGCAAACACATCAAAAACGCATGCAAATGCCTGGAACGCACTGAAAGCCCATGCTAAATGAAAAAAAAACCACAAAAAAAACGCATCAAAAAACGCGGCAATAACGCAGCACGACTCACTGCACTGCGTGTGCAGAAACCTGAGTGGATCTGCTCTGCATTTGGTGTGAACAAGGCCTAACTCTGTTCAACCCCTTTGGGATGAATTGGAATGCCTATTATAAGCCAGGTTTTCTTGTTCAACATCAGCACCTGATTTCACAATAATATTTTGCCTGAATACCTACAGAAGCACTCCAACATTTTCCTTAGAGAGTGCAAAAGGTGGGGGCAACTCCATATTAATGCCCATGGTTTTGGAACTGAATGGCCAATAAGCTCATATTGGTATGATGGCTGGATGTTTTTTTTGCCATATAGTATAATTGACTTGTTTCTGTAATATATAAGTATCTGATATACAGTATGTTACAAAGGCCCAACATTTATAAGAAAAAACATTTCAAGTATTACCAAATTAAAAAGTTATGTGAGCACTAGGGACATGAGGATATGTAGTACCGTATATACTCGAGTATAAGCCGTCCCGAATATAAGCCGAGGTACCTAATTTTACCACAAAAAATAGTATATACGGTAACTACTATACATTTGATAATATAAGATATAGACATTCTCCTTTCTTGTGAAAATGTTCATTTTTCGGATGATAGAGTTCCAAAAAAAGAAGTAATAATTGTTTTATCAGCACATTAGAACTTACATATTTAAATGGCTGACAAATAACCGGATATTTGTTGCAGGTCGGAGAATCCCTCCACTGGATCCACATCAGAACGGCTCTAATGGAGCGATGAAACTTGGAAGACAGACCACACAGACCACAAACAGATGCTGTTGATCTCGTTAGCCATGATGTTCACATAATGAGATGGTTTACCAACAACAAGCAGTACCTTGAAACAAACTAAGGAGCACATGTAAAACAACAAAAGCATGCCGAGTTTTAAATCCTTTAGCATGCAGTTCAAAATATTCCTCATTGTTTACAATTGTTTTTTGCTCATGATGTTTGCTTATTTGGAAGCAATTACTGTACTGCATTTTTTGAAATTTTATCAGAGGCCTTGGAATTGTCAGTTTTTTTTACAGTGTAATTCAAGTTTTTTCTAATCAAAAGCCTAGTAATCGAGTTACAGTATATTTTGCACATTACACTAAAACTCAAATGTATTTCTATACTCGATTTCATGAGCTGACATGGAAACTAAGTGGGACGTAAATAGGGCTCACTAACCAAAATACCTATTAGCGGGACTTCAGGTACAAGGACCCTAGAAAGTCATGACAGATCCATTTATCCTATATACATACTCCTTTTATACATTTCGGTGTTTACTAAGTTTTGCCATGGATGCATGTATTACCAGTGCCCCTAATACTGTATGAATGTTTTACAAATGTTTTTTCATGGAGGGCCTGAACTCTGGAAGTTGTGCCTAAAAAGGCAAGCAGAGGGCAAAAGACTAGTTTCCTTACTTGTAGGCTGCGTGCAGCTGATCTTCTCCTCATTACTGATTTAACATTCCTTGTTCTGCACTACTTTTCTGTGTTCATGTGGCCATATTCATAGAACAATAAGGCTTTGCTTCCTCATATCAGAGCTGCTCCTCTGATGACTTGTGACTTGATAACTGATGGGGAACGTTTAAGATGCAGTAGAAAAGGTGTATGAAGCAGAAGTAGGGAGATGCATGCAGTGCAAAATTCTCTCCAGCAAGAAGCACAATAGGAGATCTCCAAATCTCCCTAGACTAGCAGGCAGGGGCCACAATGTCTTAGATGATCTTGCACAGCACACATAGAGCTATAAGGCTGTAGGCACAGGAGTGCCTACGCACTCTTACGTACCAGGAAGTACACTGCTATGTTTCAGGAGGAATTCAAGACAAAGGGTAATTTCTTCAGGGTACTACTTAACCTTTCTAGATGTTACCTGTAGCAAAGCAAATAATCACTTTTTACATTCATGTCCAATTTAATAACTAACAATAATTATTTAGATCTTTTTTTTATAGGTTTTATTATATCCTTAAACTGTAAACTGTTATGGTGAATTTACTTTAACTAGCAGAAATAACCCCTAGGGCTTACATACCATTGGTAAAGAATACATGCTGTAAGGGATTGCTTCACTTCCAGGTATCACTGGGACAGGAAGTGATGGGAAATCTTTCCAATGGGACACAGACAGGGATAAAACCCTTTTTGTCTAGTTCTAGTATGGAAGAGTTAGGACTTCTGCTAGGTTTTTATGACTGTCTGTCATGCCGTTGGGAAGAAATCCCTCACTTCATGTCCATGTATCTGGAGTGAGAATAACAGTAGAAGCACGGGCAGCAATAAAACCTGATTGAAGTTCTAACCCTTCCAAACATTATCCAAAAGGAAAGAAATAAAAAATATTACGGTAATAGAGCTTAACTTTAACCTTTGTGTTGGGGTCCATTACAACCACTTTCTTACATACAACTAATTTTGTTATACCTGGCAATATGTAACTTTAATGTGATATAATATAAAATCTGCGCTTATGAAACACTCCAAACAAATCAAATAAATAACAGAGCTGCTGCAGCACAGACAACTAGGTCCAAGTGACAAATATATAAATAAATATGCAGCGCTAGTAACCCTTAAATCCTATGAAGAAATTTTAAGTTAATAAGTGATAAATAATAAGTGATCAAAATAGGATAATTGATTAATTATTAAAATCAATGAATATCAATGAATAACAAATAGTGTGAATTAATAGCAGATGTGACATATACAACCACATAAATATGAATAAATAATTTAACATAACATAATTAAATGAATGTGAATAACCATTAAATCAAATATTCCATGTACAAAACATTTTGCTCAAAGTTCATATCACACCCAGAGTGATTGATAAATAAAGGTCCATAAATGAAAAATTGTTCAATAAGTGCAAATAAAGTCCCAAAGTGCTTGATAATTGCTTCCGAAATCGCCTTGTGCCACACAGGCACCCCCCTAGGAGTGCACACTCACCACATATAAATGGCTGTAAGTTAGCAGCCAAAGTTCATTTATATGCCAACAGGTTGCCCAGCGTTTTCTTTGTGTGCCTCCACAGTGATGGTCCGTAGATGATGAATTCCCCACAGTCATTAGAAAAAAGAACTCCTCATTGTGCAGTAGATCAAGTATATTTATTAAACAAAAGAAACAGCCGGCCGGCAAGATCCAAACGAACAGCCCGCACTTCCGCATTCGGTGTAGCGTCAAACAGACTGTCTATCGTAAAATGCATTAAAGTACCATAACTATTAACAAAAACGTATCTTATTTGTGTATTGCTCGGCTGTAGATCCTCAAATCATCTCTGAATTCATGCTGACACGGTCCTTCCTTCTGGAGGGTAGCTACCCTCCAGAAGCTAGGACAGTGTCAGTACAAATTCAGAGATGATGTGATGATCTACAGCCGAGCAATACACAAATAAGCTACATTTTTTAATAGTTAATGCATTTTTAAGATTTAACTCTTGAGTTTAGTGTCACTTTAAAGCAGTACCAAGAATAAAATCAAATGCTAACATTTTGCCAGCTGCATACAAAGTCAGACTAATACTTTTATACTAAGTCATGGCTTGATTTACCGCAAACTCCACAGTCTCCCCCATAGTTGTTTTTCCAATTACTTTGCGTGCAGCTACAGGTGGGCTCTTTGCTGCTCTTTAACTAGCTTTGCTATAGTCATTCTTGAGAAGCCATTGTGGCAATAAGGTCACATGTTTTCACCAAGATATGATCACATAAAATGCAGTGCCCTAAGGGTGACCTTTAGGGCTACAAATGATTCATAATTTTAACGTCCACCCAGTGTCCATTTTGGTGTCTTTTTCATGGTATGGCATGTTTTCCTATGTTACTACAGATGAGACCCCTAGCAATAACCTAGTAAGGACTCTTTTTTTAGTTCAGGTAACTTTTGTTCCTTTGAGGCTCCCAAATCCTTATGAGCCCTAGACACAGTTCCTACTAAATTGTGCCACATACCAAGTCCGTCATCTGTCCACATGTAATTGGTAAATTTGTACTTCCAGAAATGATATATTATGAAAAGTGATAGAGAAGGCTACCTTTGGAAATGGAATGTAATATCTGTAATGACATTTTCAATAGAGACTCTATCACCACAGTCTCTGTTGTTCTTATAGTAGCTGCAGAATTCGGCACGCTCTGCCACAGAGATATGAGGCATGCAGGTGGACATCCACAGTCCTAGTCTAATCACATAGATAATACTTGGATACAGAGTTAATGCCGCCTTCAGCAGAACTTTGAAGCAAAAACCTACTATTTTATTATGGAACAAATGTAATGTAATGTTTAGTAGCACTGGTATCCGTCACCTAACTGGACAATAACTCAGTGGGTCAGGGAACTAGTAACACACACAGTTGCACATTCCTAGTTTTGTGCTGCAAAGTTTACATTCTAGCTGTAAAAGACATTTTACATTTAAACTTATAAAGTTATAGTATGGTCACAAAGGGGTTAAGTAAAGTAAGGAAGGGCTAGAGCCTTCCAGAGGCTTTTTTTTTGCTCTTTGTGTCTCTTTTGGGGAGCTTTCTCTTTTCAGTGTGGTTAAAGATGAGCAAAACTCCCCAATGGGGGCAGGCAGGAATAAAATCCTGGCAAAGTTCCTAATATTAACAATAAAACAAAAAATAACATTTCATTCTACCCTACCATGGTCATATATAACTGTTGAAAAAAAAAAAAAAAAAAAAGAAAGTTCAAAAAAAAAAAAAAAAAAAAAAAGTGATGTTACATGAACATAACCCTTGGCAAACAAGATCATGACAATTAGGCTAATGATATAGGTTTAATAACAAGTACTTCTGATTGCTGAAAGTGACAGCACTGTCATAAACCCATTTTACAACAAAGACGATCTTTTCTTTACTATGAAGAAAAGGGAAAGAAGCTTTCACTGTGTGTCCTATTGTCCTATCCGTGCATTGCCCACATTGGGAGGAAACTGAGTGAGGTTGTGACATCAGATGAGTTGGCTTCCGAGGAGAGAATCTGATTGGTTGGCCACATTGACAGATAAGGCTCAATGTTCTAGTTAGGCTCTGAGATGCACAGGTTGCAACCTATGTATGCCAGTTGACTTTTTTTTTTATGTGCTAACAAGTGTTCACCAAAATACAGTAGTGAACAACTCATGCACCATATCAAATAGTGCCGCGGCATGCAGACAGTCTTCTGAAGCATCCTGATTCTCAGACTGTCAAGGGATATGTAAAAAAAAGGAAGAATTCCGGCAAGGTTATTTGCTAGTGGGTATGGGATAACTATACATTCTTGCAACATAAAATGCAAGCTTTCATCATCAGAGTGGCCATGAAATTAGGTTTTTATCAATTCTATTTGAACACTACATCGCTAAAAGTTGTATCACACTTTATTTCAAATCCTAACAGTATTATAAATTTCCTCCCATTTGGTACTGTCAAATATTATGCACATTTTCAGACTCAGATATGAAGATCTGACATTTACTGTAAGTAGCAAATAAAAATGCAGATACAGAAGAGAGTGGACCTTTCGTATGAAAAATGTGCAAACCTGAGTCTTATTTCCACTTCTGCTATGCCTTGAAAGAATTACTTTTAGAAGCTAATTGCTTGTTATGGGCAAAACCAATACTTTTTCTCATTTGTCAAAGAGTTTTAAAACAATTGTCTGTACTGCCCAAAACAAATAATCAGATGAAAGCAGCTGAGAAGAATGTGATTACTGTGGTAGGAAAAAAAATCTTCACAGCAAACCAAAAAAAAAGATATTGCAGTTTAAGTCTTTAGATGAGGTGGTTGCATTCGTTTTCCTTTTTTTTTAGGCTTTTGTGTTCTGTATTTTTAGCTAATAATCATAACATACTTTCTGTCCTTGGGTGGCTACTCTAGCTCCATTGTGTCTATGGAGGGATCCATAGTTGCCACCCAGCCTGGACTTTAAAGTGGAACTACAACCTCTTATCCTTTACAGCCAAGGAAGGTACCATCTTAGCCTATATTTGAAATGCAGATGCCGTGGCGCTGCACATGTGATCATCTATGGCACCAGACATTTGAGGCCGTAAAAGTTCAGTTGAGAAACTGGCAACCTTGAAATTAACTGTTTTAGGAGACAGTTAAATTGGTGGGTCTAGTTCTGCTTTAAACATTTCTTCCTCTCTGTATCTTCATCACAGGAGAAGTGGGGAGGATTAGTAGTTTAAAAGATAACTTGGTGTTCTCAGTTCAGCTCACAGGACGTGACAAGGATGCTACATTTCTGGCAAGATCATCAGGTATTTTATACTTGCTA